AGCAGGACTGATCTTGTGTTTTAACCGTCAACGTATTTTTCTACTTTGGTGGATTTTTGTGGAGAATTTACGTGTGTAGCCCAGTGCAAGTCTCTAAAAATACACTTCAGGCTGCAGTTATGTGCATAAAGCACAAGTGGTATGCAGGCAGGTTGATGTACAGACTTTAAAGACATGTGTGATTGAGTTCAGTGCACTGGGCGGCCTCGCTAGGTGTATTTCCTGGAACACTCCCATGATGAGACCTCTGTGTGCTGTGCTCTCACCGCATGGTCTGGGCAGAGTCACTCCTCATGGAGTTTTTCTCCTGCACTCCCTTCTCCTCCAGCAACCTGGTGATGAAGAGGACGGCAGCCAGCTGCTGGACTTGGTCCGAACCTGACCCCACCTTTTTCATAATGTCCACCACCTCCCCCAGCTTCTCCAACACTGTCTTCTTCCCCTGGACCCGCGGGTTGTTGAACACTGCAGGGAGGACAGGCAGAGAGGCTCACAAACCTGAAGGAGACAGAATCTAGTTCCTGTGACTGCTCAGGTTCACTGTGCACAAACAGCAGCTTTAATTGCTGCAGAGAAACAGGAGCTCATCCATCAACTTCAATTTTTACAGAAAACCATTTTGATTTTTTTCCTCTGGGAATAAAACAAACATTGACTCTTTGATCTGATGAGAACTTAAACTACAGGTGTGGAGTTTCATTTATATAATGTGTCGAAATCGGTGGTCAGTTTATAACAGTATGTTGTGTATGCTTCGTGAAAGTAGCAACAACATAGAAAACAAGTACTTAAGGCTAAAAATGGAATATAAGGGTATGATATTGTGAAGCTTAATTTGTTGTTTTGTATGTTATCAGGTGAATTCTTGTGGCAGCAAACATTCAGGCCAAGCAGCAGGAACTCCCGCTGCAGCCTCACCCACCAGGTTGACAAGTAGTGCATTTCTTCACGGTAGCAGCAGGAGTGATGACTACAAGTAAAAGGATCATTTCAGGGTTTCCTTTTCAGTTTTCCTGCTCCACATTTTGCTTAAGGACTTTAAAAAGAGAATGTGTCAAGTATTTTAGTGCAACTGATCTGAAACCGTTTGGTCTACAAATGTTGATATGAAACAGCAGGGTGCCTCCATGACAGAAACAGATTAGCTCAGCGTCCTGTTTTCAGAAGATGTTTCTCACATTATTAGGACATGTTTTCTTGTTACTCTTTAATCAGTTTGTTTTAATGAGATTTGTTGGTTTTGTGGCATGAATAAGTGCTGGACCAGTGATTCTCCTGAGCTCAACTCAGATCCTGGGTTTTAATGTGCAACTGTTACAGTGAGTCAGACACCACAGCGCTCCCCTCAGGACATCTGTCCCCACCTGTCATCTTGTCCTCCAGGTCGTCGGGGTATTTGCTATCGTCCTCTGTGGGCAGCTCGCTCTCCGTCTCGGAGCTGCTGCGGTCGGACTCCGCAAGAATCTCCTTCTTGGCTTTCTTAGAGACGGAGGCCATTGCTGAGGAAGAAGAGGCTGAGGCTGTTGAAGACAAAGCACTCTGTCCTCCTCCTGCCAGACCCGATGAGCCCACAGAGCTTTCAGCTGGAGGAGATGAGGAATGGGAGAGTTTGTCAGTGGTGCGCTTCTTCATCTAACAACTAACCTGTCTAGCTGCTGCAGACAGTGTTGGGCCTCGTGTTCTGGGCTATTAAGTTCTTTCAGGTAGGAGGTTCATAAATGTTTTCAACAATGTTGTCCAGGGTGACATTTGATTTAAACCGATTCAAAAATACCCTTTAATTGGGAATTCTGTGTCTAAACTGGAGTCCAAACTGTGTCTAAACTGTCCTTCAGTATCACTGCAGCTCCCACACTTCTGTCTTGAAATGACAAGTTTCATCACAATATGTTCTTACACTCACTCTTAGCTAGTGATCTGATGTTCTCTGACACATACAAGTCAACGCTATTTCAATTCAATTCAGGGGGATGTCCTCGATATGAAATGATACTATGTGCCTATTTCTCACATTTTTATTCAACATCAAATGCAACCTAAATATAATTTCAAACCTTTATTGAGCTCCTCTGTTCACTGTAAAGTGATATCTGAAGGAGCATTAACTCAGATTTCCCCCCACTGTCTGATAACCCCAGTGACAGTGGGACGTGGTGTCTCCCAGCTACACCCCCCCCCATGACCCTCTGCTGCCTACCGCCTCCCGTCTTTAGCACAGAGAGAGTGGGACAAAGACAGAGCAACAACCAGGGTTAACATGGGTTTGGCTGTTTGACATGGAGAGGGTTAAAAGCAGCCAGAGGACTCAGACTGGATTCAGATGTAGCCTTCTTCCTTCTGGATGTGTTAGCATCTAAAGCTAACCTGTTTGTTTTGGTAGCATTAGCCACCTAGCATGGTCAGGATTTTACCTTTGAATGAATATGATTTTAATTTGGGAGGAACTGGAGCTTTGTGTAACGTCAGCACGAACCGGAGGGTCCTACTGGACGGACACGTTTACTGTTAGCCAGCTAACGCTAGCTTCAGACTGGAGGCTGCAGGTTTGAATCCAGTTCCAAGTTGGTAAAATACCCAGAAGCTTTAGGGCCAAACAAATCCCTTACAGAGCTTGTCTTTTAGTTTAGTTTATACGCTGGCCTCTGACACAACAGATATCGCCACAGAAAAAGACAGAGAAACTCACGGTAACTCGGCAACACAGTTGTAAACAAATAAGTATATATCCATGTTTGAAAGAAAAACTGGTGTAAAGAAAAGAGAATTTCCAACCACAGTCAGACCCATCACAGGTGAACACAGACATGCTGCGTTCTCACCCAGCAGCTCTTCATCCTCTAGGCATCCTCCCCCTCTCCTCAGGTAGTGTTTGGAGAAGGCATGGGAGCAGAGCAGGTCACTCAGGCATGAAGACGGCAGCTTCTGCTTCAGATAGTGGAGCAGCTTCTTGGCCGTGTCTCCAGGGACAGAGAGGCCAATCAGGGCCGAGTCATCCAGCTCTCCGTCCTGTGGGACCCACACAGGAGGAAGATGTTAACATGAGGCTCAGTGACAAGGTTCCTGTCTCTTCTCTGTTCTGCAGTCAGGACACAGACTTAGAAAACACTGATTTCTCCACATGTCCAAGAAACCAGGACAAACTCAGGCTCAAAATAACAAAAACAGTAGTAATGACAGAAAGTGAAGGCAGCATACTGTAGCACCGACGCTCTGTGCAGACTGAACCGTGCGTGTGAACACTGATTTTCTGCATGACCTCGTTTCTCTGAAATAAGAGAATATGGGTCCATGTTGAGGAAAAGAAATGCACCTCATTCTGTAAATGTTCCGGTAGTTTAACCTGTTGGTCTCATGTCTGAATACACTTTACATAAGACCTACAGTAGATAAACTCATCTCAAAACCTCTATAAGAGATGATTTCTTCTGCTGACGTGCTCGTTCCCTCCTAAGAATTTAAATGTAGTTCTTGTTCATTTTATTCAGTACACTACAAATGTACTGCTCGGTCATTCAGGCAGTCATCACACCTCCTTCCTGTAGTTTCACCTTTCATTCATGCCAACTACTTAAATTAATGCAAAAATATCCAGGAAGTCTCTGAACATACATGTGAATGCTAAAGTTTAGTTTCTATTGTACCATACAAATGTGTGACAATTAAAAAAAAACATCAGAATTTTCTAACAACTAATGAACCTGATAAGGAGACTTTTCACAGGATTCACCGACAATCATTTTTCTGGAGCTCCATCTTTGTTCGGGTTTTCAAGCCCCCTGTGTCTGAAGGGCAACAGCACTTGACTCAAACGGAAATGTTGCAGATCTGAGGTTTGTTATAAGAGGAAATACACCGTCGCCTCCACTAAATTAAAGTATGAAGACAGACGGTGCCTCCAAAATGGCCTACTTGCCTGCTACATAGTAGGCTAAAATGTGTATGCAAGACAAGTAGCATGTCTGAATTCTTAGCATGGAAAATATGTAGAGTAGTACGCAGATGACTTGCATAACTTTGTAGTATGGAAGCGATGGACACTATGCTATCCTATCATCCCACGGTGGTGTCAGGGCAGGGTCAGAGCTGTTGGCATTTTCATCCCAGGGCAGTTGCCATTAAGTTTTGAGATTTTTCAAGCAAGAACATAATCATCTAGTTGTCAAATATGTGGTCAGTCTATCCAAATAGTTCCAGCTTAGAGATTTGCTCCAGCGTTTTCAGAGGTGTGATGACCCACTAACATGGCAGCAAGTTAGCTCTGCTTAGCTGTAGCCATTGTGCTCATATCATCACATTCATTAACACATACATTGGGGTAAATAAGTATTTGATACAATAGAAAAATAGAACTTAATATTTGGTACAGAAACCTTTGTTTACAATTACAGAGGTCAAACGTTTCCTGTAGTTCTTGACCAGGTTTGCACATACTGCAGCAGGGATTTTGGCCCACTCCTCCAAACAGGTCTTCTCCAGATCATTCAGGTTTTGGGGCTGTCACTGGGCAACACGGAGTTTAAGCTTTTCTATTGGGTCCAGGTCTGGAGCGGGCTAGGCCACTCCAGGACCTTGAAATGCTTCTTACGGAGCCACTCCTTGGTTATCCTGGCTGTGTGTTTGGGGTCATTGTCATGCTGGAAGACC